ATAAGAAAAAATATTTAATTAAAATATAATAAATTTATTTTTAAACCTTAATATTATAGTATATATAATCCTAAAAGCATAGTTTAAAATGACAATTATTAGATTTAATATTATTAATAAACTTTTTAATTTATTTTAAAAATTGTAATATATCAGAAGTGATGATACAGCCTATACAAGATATAGAATTGTAATAGATTTGATATTTTTTATTTTATTAGAGTCCTTTATAAGATAAAATATCTTGAAAAAAGAGACAGATAATATTTTGGCTTTTGGAGTTAAGTATTTTAACATATTTGTAATTTGTTTATAATAGTCTTGTAGCTTTGTTGTTTAGAAATTTATTTAGTATTTTTGTTTATTCTTTAGATATGATTTCAGATAAGAGATTTTGAAAGAAGTATTTATTTTTAGAATGTAGTTTATAAAGATCAAAAAAGGTGAGAAAGAATTTATTAGAGAGTAAAAAAGTTCTTAGAAGTAATTAAAGAAGTATTCATTAAGAGCTGATTTAATTTCAAATAGTTGAGTAGTTAAATTGTTGCTTGATAAAAGACTATTTAATTTGATACTATAATATATTACAAGATCTGAAAAATTATTCAAATTTTGATTGAGTTTTTTTTAGATCAGACTTTACTAATATAGTTTTGTAAAAAGGCTATATTACTTTACTAACTCAGAATTTCTATTATGAAGATTCTCTACTTATATATTTATTAAGATTTCTTTATATAATATTATATTATACTTTTAAGTTTAGATCAAATTAGTACTAATAAATTTACAGAAATATATGTTGAAAATCAAGTTTTGATTATATGATTTACTATGTCTTATAAGGTTATTTTCAAGGCAAAGACCCTATATACTCAGAAATAAACAGAGTTTATTATAATATATTACAAGATCTGAGAAATTATTTAAATTTATTAATAGTAGAATTTGAACCTTAGACCAATTGCATAGTAATCTGATAATCTAACTACTAAATTAAGAATACTAGATCTTTATTATATTTTATTATATTTTATTATTATTAATAGTTAATTTTTTGGATATATTTTATTTATTATTAATTTTTTTATAAACTTAATAGCTAAAGCTAGATTTAAGTTTTACTATTAGATTTAACTCAATGAGACTTTTCTAGTAAGTTATAAATTATATCTTACAAATATGTAATTTTTAAGTTATCTTAAAATTAACTTTAAAATAACTTACTCTTTCTACTCTTTCTACTTTTCTATCTTTTCAACCTTTTCTATTTTTTTTACTCTTTTTATTTTTCTATCTTTTTTACCTTTTCTACCTTTCAACTTTTTCTAGAAGTTATATAAACTTTCTCTTTTATTTTTGCTTTATATTAGGTTTATTCTTTATAATTTAAAATTCTATTAGACAAAAACTAATAGATAATCTTATATTATTAATATTATAATCTTTACTCTAATATAGACTTGTAACAAACTAACACAGTGAAGTAATATTCTACTTAAACACTATTAAAAATTCTCTTTCTATATCTTATACTACTTGTATTATATTAAAAAAAATATGCATTTGTAAAAATATAGAAAATTTTCATTTTTATAATCTAATTTATAACTTTATTTTACTAAATTTCTAATTGCTAAAATTGATGTTAGTTAAATAAACAATTTCTGATTAAAATTAGGTAAAATTTTTATTAAAAATACATTAAAATTACTATTTTTATATGTATTATTCTTAAAACTACTCTAATTACTCAGTTTACCAACTATCAATTCTCATAGTATTTTTATCGCTCAAAACATTCAAATGCATCATAAACACCTTATCTAACATGTGTGGTTCATGTGCAGCTCCAATTTTCATACATTTCTCTTCGGATAAATTTAAATAATCATTCAAAATCGGCCTATATTCAGGATGAGCACATTTATCAATAATCATACGTGCTCGTTCGATGGGAGCTAAACCTCGAACATCGGCTAGACCTTGTTCTGTTACAAGAACATCGAGATCGTGTTCACTAGTCATTACAAATATTAATGTATTATAATTCATTATGGATATTGCAAATTTATAGAGTACAAAATGGAATGGTGTACTTACGTTTGATCAACATGTGAACACATTGGTACTACACAAGAAATTCCTGCATAAATTAATTTAAAATCTAAATTAACATAAATTATCAAAATTAAAATTATGAACATATGTACGAAATTATTGAATACCTAAGGGATCTTTCTTCGTAGATCGTGTTGACGGTGTATGTACAATACTTAACTTAGAATTTCTTAAAAAATCTGCAGATCCTCCAATTCCATTTAACATTTTTGTTCCACATACATGAGTTGAATTTGCGTGGGCATATATATCAAACTAAAAAATTTTCATATTCAAAAAAATATTCATTTCGAAATAAATCAAGACAAACAAAGCTACCTCAATCGGAGTATTCATGGCAATAACGCCTAATCTTCTAATTATCTCTGGTGAATTGCTGACACTTTGACTTCTAAGAACTAGCCGATCTTTTAATTCGTCCCACATTTCATAAAATCTTTTAAATCCAGAAGGTGAAAATGCCACACTTGTGGCTGAAGCGAAAGATAGCTTATGATGTTCCCAGAAATCAAGAAATGTGTCTAAAAAGTTAGTTTTTAAATTTAGAAATAAATTAGTTAATAATCTGCAAACGAAAAAAAAAACCGACGAATTAGCAGTAGTATAAGAGATAATTAAAAATAAAACCTTGAATAACTTCAGTCCATACTTCAACATCAGTAAAAGGACCATCAGCAAGACCTCCAATGATAGCATTGGCAATGTTTCCAATACCAGATTGTAAGGGGAGAAGTTGTGGTGGTAATCGTCCCTTTGAAACTTCATTCTCTAAAAATTCAAGGATATGGCCTGCAATTTTGCGCGAAGCATCATCCTAGAGAATTCAAGAGAACAAAAAATGTGAATAATTGCTGAATACACTATAAAAACAAAATAAAATTATAAATAAATTTTTGCCTGAGGTTCACTTTCAGAAGTTTGGTCAGGCATTTTTGATTCAATAATAGCAATAACTTTGTCAGAATCGCATGGAATATAAGTCTTTAGAAAAAAGATAAAAATATAAATAAAATATAGATTTTCAATTAAACGAAAGTAATAAATAAATACCGTTCCGACTCGGTCATCAACTCTTTGAACTAAATTTGGAAATTTATAAGGAGCAAATTTGCCTAAAGTAATATCATGCAATCCTTCAAAATTTGGTAATGCAGTATTAACTTCGATTATAATATTCGCAGCGGATTGGATAATTTCAGGTGTAGCTCCGACCGAAGCTCCAGGAATAATATTTCCTTTTTCTGTTATTGCAGTTGCTTCGACAATTGCCACATCTAACTTCTCCATAACATTGCCCTATTAAAGTGAAACAAAACTTTTGGCATTGAACTAATAAGAATAGAAAAATTTTTAAGTAGAATTTGAATGTATAGTACCTTCTTTTCAAGTGTATAGTAACCAGATAATAAATCCTTGTATTTGAAGAATCCACAATAGCATTTGGTCAGAGTTAATAAAGCTAATGCGACTGTAAATAAAACAATTATCTATTATCTACCAAAGGAAATTCTGAAAGATGTTTATCCGCAAATTTGATATGGTTTTTATTAATTTCATCTCTAATAACGCTACCAAGTTGGTATGGGTAACGACGTGCTATCATCCCATTCTAATATAAATATGTTAGAAATTATAAATTGAAATTTATATGTTTATACAAATATTCTAATACTAAAAAACGATTATTTACCTTTGCCCATCTAATATAGAAAATCAAAAATAATTAACAAAAAAATTCAAACTTCTTCCCAGTGTTGAAGATAAAATTTTTCAATTGGAAAAATGATGTGAAGGATCGTTGAATCATACGATTTATAAATTTTACCTATTCTCTGTTTCAGCAGAAGTACTGGCACCTACATATAGATCAAATCTTAATTTTCCTTGAAGATTATTTTTTTCTACATATTCTGCCAGAGCAAGTGGTATAACCTTTGGGTAACCTACACCTGTAAAACCAGACTATCGAAATAGTTTCGGTATTAACATCAAAATATACATGACTATAAATATTATTTCTTGTAATTTTATCTATTCACCCATCCCATTCTCATTCCATCCTTAAAAAATCCACTATTTATAATGTCTTCTACAGTTGTTAATTTTGTAAATAAACTTGGTCGACGAACTCGAGACTTTATTGCTTCAGTTAAAAGTTTTGATGTCATTTTTTTTTTTGATAAGAATTGGATAAAATATAACCATGAATACGTTCTTTTTATCCATTTTTTTTTCTTAACTCTTGGTGTTATAATTAAAAATCACCTCACATCTAAGAGTCGAACGTATATGCAGAAACCACGCCACTATATTCATATAGGCTGATTTTCTCCGATCACTAAAGAATTCGACTTGATTGGTGAGTTAGCCTCCAGGAAGATCCCTGGTGTTACGGACCAAGCCCCCAAGAAATGACGCAACAATAATCGTATGATAAAATCATACGATAGCAGCATCCAAGCCTCCCCGCATATATCAATAAACTATATAAAGGACGTTACAACAAGTTAGGTTGAAAACGACTCTTAAGGTTGATCATAACGGTCAGGGGATATGTCACATGAAATGTATTCATCTTATTTCAAAAATATTCAAAGCGGTAGTGTTCTATATAATTTTAACTGTGAATTCGATCTCTGTATATATTTTATAAAACTATTTCTCTAAAAACTATTCTGTATTCTTTACAGGAGGTTATACATATTATTTACTTTGTTATGCAGTATATTTAACATTTTAAGATATACTAGCACAATAAATGGTGTTTCGTGCCATTGCCTTTATACTCACTTGTCGATGAAATTATTTGAAAGGTATTTCTATATTTTGTAGTGATTTATTTCACTGATTTCGTTAATTAATAAATTTTACATTTTATAATTATATTATTTAGCCATGAGGTATAAGTTGGAGATAAGTACTTACGAACAAGTATTTACATTCGTGATTTTAATTCTACTGACTGTTAATAAATTTATACTCACGCACCAATCGAAGGGTATTAGGTGATTATTAGAATAAGTATCTAGTGGCAAGTATTTATGAATGAAAATTTATGTTCATGATTTAATTCTATTAATTAGTATTAATAGATCATCTTATACTCTCACACGATTTAAAGGGTGTAAAGTAATTAATTGGAAATAAGTATTTAAAAATAAGTATTTGTGAATGAGTATTTACATTGTTATTTTAATTCTACTAATTAAAGTTAATTGGAAATAAGTATCTAGAGGTAAAGTATTTGTGAATGAGTATTATTTGTAAGTTCAATTTCTATTTGAAGGGTATCAAGTAATTAATTGAAATAAGTATTTAAATGTAAATATCCACAAATGAGTATTTATGTTTGTGACTTTAATTCCACTTATTAATATTAATAGATCATCTTTATACTCACGCGTGATTTGTATTATGTAATTAATGGAAATAAGTATTAAGAGATAAGTATTTATGAATAAGTATCTACATTCATGATTTTAATTCCATTGATTAACGTTAACAAATTACCTTTAAAATTAATATTAATAGATCATCTCTATACTCACGTGTGTTTGAAGGTATTGGTTAGATAAGTACCTATCGCTATGATAAGTATTTATGTTCGTAATTTCAATTCCATTGATTAATACTAATAACTTATCTTCAGGTATTAGAGTAATTAATCGTAAATATGTATTTAAAGATAAGGCCACCCAATTTGATTTTCTGTTTAACATAACCCCCTCTCTTTTTAAAATATTTATATAATATAAAAAAAAACATTATATATAGGGAGCCCCACAGCAAAAGGTGGCTTTGGAATATTTTAAATTTTGATCTTTAAATAAATATATCTCATAATCTAGAAACTGCAAACAAATAATTTTTATACTATTTAATTCTTCTCATTAAGAGTAATTAAATAATATAAAAATTATTTGTTTACAATTTCTAGATCATGAGATATATTTATTTAAAGATCAAATTTTAAAACATCCCAAAGTTACCTTTTGCTATGGGGTTTCCCATATATAATAACCAATAGGAATTTAGTATTTTAATTATAAATATTTAGTGCTAAGTAAATATCTTGGTCTATCATGTATTTATCAAATGTATCCTTAATAGAGATAAAAATACAATATTCAAAAAATTAAAAATTATAATTCGAATAAATATAGTTTCTAATTTAGGAATAATTGATTTATAAATTCTAATATCATGAGCTTACTATAATTTAATTTACATTTCATAAGACTTAAATAATGAATTAGTTCAATAAACAATTAGATAAATTATCAAAGCAATAAATTATCTTACTTTTTTATTTACAACACCTTGAGTATAATAGTGCTATTTAATTTATATGCTCTTATATAATTATTATTACTACTATTAACTTTTTATATGCCATCTACTAGGTTGCTTTGTATACAGAGCCAAATCCTCCTTTGCTAATTTTTTTAATATTAAATAATTTATTAAATAAAATCTATTCTATTGCATATTTATAACACTAGGTTTTAAGTTAGAATACTTTTATACAATTATTAATATGTTTATTTTCACTTGTTTATCTTGTTGTTATATCTAAATTGTATAATAGATACTATGTTTTATAAGTGTTATCTTCATTACAATAAGCATATTTTCTATATATAGATTCTCTATATAGTATATATAAAGTTATTTCACATTTGCAGTTTTAAACTTTATGCTAAATGTAAATAATTTTATACTCACTAACTTAAATAAATTAATATAAATAAAATAATTTGTATATAATAGAATAAAAGTATTTATAATCTTGTTTTGTGATTGAGATTTGCTATTTTATGTATTAAAATTTTAAATATTCTTTATACACATAAACTAAATATATTAATATGAATAAAATGATTTGTATATAATAATATAAGTATGTATTAGTTATATAATTTGTTATATCTAAAATTTTATCATATAATTTTCAAAATTATATAAATTGATGAATTTATAATTTAAAAATTTTACTCAAAGTCTTAGTCAAAACTTATGATCTTCTTTTAAACAAGATAGTTGCTAAGGCTACTATGAACAGTTTAGTATAAAAATTATAAAAAACTATTACTTTCTTATAAAATACTATGTCCTTAAAATAAGCAATAATTTTGTCTATTTTTGTATGATTCTTAGTGAGTTTATAATTTTTTGATATAAAAAGGAGATTACCAGTTGCATTAAAGAGAAAGCTTTTATAAATTGCATCTATAAAGAGCTAGTATATTATAAAAGTAGTAATAAAAATCTAGAAAAACTATTTTATAAAAAGTAGATTATATGTTGATTATTGTCTATATTTTATAATTTTAATCTCACTTACATGATATTATTTTATTACAAAATATATTTAAATAAATTAATTTTATATAAGTTTTAGGTAACAAAAAAAAACAATTTGTTTGAATTAATAAGAATAATAATGTATACTATTTTGGTTTAAATATTGTTTGAATAATTATTTATAGTAGTAATTTGATTATTAGTTTGTTAAATAGATTTTTATACTATATTAAAAACAAATTGTATTTAATTTATGTACTGTTTTCTCTTAATAAATAATTATTTTGCTAATTAGTCTTTCAAATTATTTTTTCTTAGAAGTGAAATTATATTTTTGTAATTACAGAAATTTTTAAAGATGAAATTACTTTTTAAAAAGAAGTTTGCTAATTTACACTACAGGTAATCATCACCTGTAATAAAATTATCTCAAAATTTTGCATATGAAACTACTTTTGAGGCTCTAAGTAAAAAATTCCTTGTAAAATTTTACTATAGACCTTGCTAAACCCTAACCTTAATACGAGCTCTGGCCCTAACCTTAAAGTTAAAGAAAAAATATTTTTCTTTGTTTATTTTGTATAGCTACATTATACAACATTATAATAATAATCATAGGTAATTATTACCTGAGGTGAAAATTAGTTAATTTCTTTTAAAAAATAATTTAAAAACTTATATATATGTGTATTAAACACAAAATAACTTATTGATAAATTATTTAAACTATCTAGTAATCAAATATAATTTTTTTAGAAAGCTTGATTAAAAATTTTAAAATTTTTTATTTTAAAAAAAAAATATTATATTTTTCTAAATTATTTAATATTATTTAATTGCATAAACTCTAATACAACTCAATTTTTTCTAAGTCAAATATAGTAATTGCTAAAAGTAACATCTGATTTTTATTATTAAATAAAGATCAAAATCAGGTATTACTTTTGCTAGTAACTAAATATAATTTGCATTCTCTAAATATAATCTTTTTAATACTAAATACAAGGTATTAGAATTCTAATAAGTTATATAGTATTTAAAGTAAACTAAATAAACTTTATCTTTTATTTTATACTTTCTGACTATTTTTAATAACTTATAACTTTTAATAGTTTAGATAGTTTATAATTATTGAGCAGGCTTAGTAAGTTATAGTCTCAATAAATAAAAGACTTTATTATAATATAACTATATAAAAAAAGAAATAAATATCATCTTTGAAGTTATAATTCTTGAAAACTTTAATAATTATCATATTTTAAACTCAAAAATTAGAAAATAAGTATATAACTAAACTGTTGTACTTTGTCTTATAAATATAGTTTTTTTTTTAGAAAACTCTTAAAAATAGTATTTAAAAAGATCTACTATTGTAATTTACTATTTAAAATAGACCTATTATATGCATATTAATCACTCAAATTTTATAGTAAAAAATTTACTCTTCTTTTTTTTTTTTTTTTTTTTTATAATGGCATAGTAGAAACTTTATTTATAAGATTAGAACATATGTTCAAAATTTTAAAGATTTCTAGTTATATTTGTGTTACATATTTTTAAGGCACTCAATGTGACATTACACCTCCTATTTCCTAATTTATACTATATTTAATTATTTCAAATTAGTTTTTAGCTAGGATAAGTTGGGAGAACCTGAGGTATTAGTCCTGATATTATAAAGTATAAGTTGTTAGTGAGAAGCCTTGGAGAAACTATTTTTCAATTTCAGATTAGTAGTTTGTTATTGGAATAGAAGTTGTATTAGAGTTTGGTCTATTAGGTAGTATTGGATAAGTAATTTTTGTATATTTGGTTTTTTTTGTAATATTCTGAACAAGTTCCCATTAGTGTTGGTAGTAGTTTC